CCATGGGCCAACACTCTAATTGCTGAGCCAAACTAGCCAGGGTGCAAATAGTTATAATAAAAAATATAAGTAACTGGCCCCGCTATTGTGGCTCAGTGGATTGAGCAATGTCCCATGGACTGAGAGGTCCTGGTTCAATTTCCGTTCAGGGTACATGCCCAGGTTGTGGGCTCGATCCCCAGTAGGGGGCGTGCAGGAGGCTGCTGATAGTGATGTTTCTATCTCTCCTTTCCTCTCTAAAAAATCAATAAAAACATTTTTAAAAGTATATATATATATAACACATAAATAACTGTTATATACCCAAAAGACATACTACCCCCTCAGTAGATTAATGGGCAAAGAAACTGAGTAATGAAAGAGGAAATACATCTAGGAAATGAAAATGAAAAAAAATGTTTAAGCTTGCTATTAATGGGGAAAAGGCTAATTAAAAAAGTATTAACTTTAAAATTAAAGCATTTTCACCTTATCAAATATAATATTTAAAAATGTTACCATAGCCCCGGTCTGTTTGGCTCAGCGGTTAGAGTCGGCCTGCAGTCCAGAGAGACCCGGGTTCGGTTCCTGCTAAGGGCATGTACCTCGGTTGCAGTTTGTCCCTGGCCCTGGTTGGGTTGTGCGGGTGGCAACCACTCGATATGTCCCCCTAAAATTGTTACCATACCCAATTCTGGTAAGGGGAGCATGAAAATGGTTGAAAATTGAAATTATAGTTTAGAACCACCCTTTTGGAAAGCAATTTGGCAATATAACAAGACCTTTACCCAAAAGTCCCAGCTTCTCAGTCATCTGATTCCTGGAAATCTGTCCCTAAAGAAATAACTCAAAAATACAGTGGAGAAGGGAGCACGGGGGGAGGTGGTGGGTGGGTGAGATTGAGAGGACTATGTAATTCACAACAGTTTTTAACACATTCATTATATAAGCTCCAAAAAAGGGACCCATGAATCACCCAAGAATTGGACAATGACAGAGCTATTAAATGGTAGTCAATCTTAAAAAACAATGGTTATGAAGGCTAGGTAGCAACATGGAAAGTGATTACATAACAATTGAAAAAGGATCATCAAATTTTATGTGTAGGTACAGCGGGCTACTCCCCACCTCCATGGCTTTGCTGGAAAGCCCTTTCCTCCTGTCCACCTGCATTTCTTTCCGTCTCCACTGTCACCACTATAGACCAAACCTCTCTAGCCTCTCACCCCGACAAGTCCTGCAGTCTTCTAGTTGGGCTCATTGCCTTCAGTTTCTCTGTCCTCGAGTGATCTTTGAAATATAAAAATGAGACCTTACCACTCTCCCTGGGAACACTGGCCCCCAGAGGTTAAGGATAAAATCCGATCTCCAACCTCATGTGAAACACACCTCCACCCCCACCCATTCTCTGAGCTCCAGTCACAATGGCCTTTCACTGGGTGCCTCTACCCCCCCAGCCAGAGTCCCCAGTCCTCCTGTTAACCACTTTCCTGGCCACCACCATGATTGCGGTCCCAGCTCAACGGAAAACCAGCCCCATTCAGGACACCACAGAGGTGGCTCCTACAACAGCTGAGATAAGCGACCACAAGGATCTGAATTAAGAAAGGGACAAGAACAGAATAGACCCATGAGCAGTCCAATGACCGGTGACTTCAGGTGCCCTAACTGAAGTGTGAATCCCAAGCGCCACATCCATATTGTTGAACCAGGGCTCAAACATGCAGGAAGGCAAATGAAAGTCTGAGCCATGATGATAATGCTAGAAACACAATGTTACCTGCTCATCTGCTGATACTAATGGGGCTGATATCAGCCTGGGCCGATAGGTCAGCAGTCAAGGGTTTAGGCAAGTTCCCTAAAGTCTGAGAATATATCCCTACTTCACAGGGCCAGGACCTCCCCTAGCCCCTGTGTCCAAGGCTCTTCTGTAGGTCAAGGAAGCAGGAGACAGAAAGGGAGCATAAGCTTTGCTTTTGACAGCTCTGGATTTGAATCCTGGCTCTGCCACTTATTAGCTGTGTGACTCTGGGCAAGTTGCTTAACATCTCTGAGACCTCTTTTCTCTGCTGTACTATACATGTGAAAACAAAATCATCTACTAGCTAAGAATGTGGACTTTGAAATTTGACTGCTGGGACTCTCTCCTCTATATACCTACTATCGGTGGAGGCTCTGAGCTTCAATGTCATGGAAAAAATGGGGATAATAATCCCATGTACCTCATGGGATTGTTGTGACGATTAAGTAAGACAGTGCAAGTACTTAGCACAAGTACTAGCACCAGGAAGCACGCAACAGTCAGTGGCTATAATTATCATCATGGAAAGCACTTAGTCCAGTGTTTGACACATTAGGGAACTCAATAATGGTTAGTTTTCCACCACCCACCCATCTGTTTTCCCTGAGCCAAGCAGGATCCACATGCTACCAAGTCCCTACCTATTCTTAGGACACGTAAATTTCAATTTCAGATCTCTTCACAGGTCGGGGTGAGGGCAGACAAGGGTCATGACCAAAAAGCAATGGCTTCCTGCCTATAGGGACCTTGCTCAGCTGGAAGACTGTTTACACCCGACCATGACCCAATCCATGTAGAGGAATCCTTTTCTGAAGATTTCCTCATGTATAAAAAAAGTCTCAAGGTACAAAACAGCAATAAAAAAGGTGTTATCAAAAGTGTGGCCTGGCAGAGTGCGTCTGAGAGATGGGGACCAGCCAGCCATACCTGAGCACAGCATCCGCAGGAAAGCAGCCAGGGAGGCCAAGAGGCAGGAACCCCCAAGGTGGCAGAGAACCAGAGGAGGGCTAAAGAAGCGGCAGCTTCGGAGAAAGAAAAGGGTGCAGGGAACAAGGAGGACTGAGCAGGAGAGCAGAGACCACGGCACAGAGCACCAGGGAGGGGGCAGGTGTGGAAGGAAAGTGGGAAATACAAGGACGGAGGGAGGAGCCCTATCAGCTTCTCCGCCGAGGCGATTTGCACGTGGATGAGAGATGCCCCTCAATTCTGCACCGAGACCAAGACCAGTTCCTCTGGCTGCCCTGGGACACTCACTCACAAGCTACCTCCAGAAACAAGACTGCCGTCAGGGCAGGGGCCGTGGTGAAACTGTCTAGGAAGGCTAAACTCACACTCAGGGAGGTACCCTCCATGAGCCACGGCATGGGGCCCCACCGCTAACGTGGTCGTGGATTTGATCTTGGCAGGGCTTGTTCAAAGCATGTCCCAGGGTGCTGTAGGGAAGAACCAGGTAAGGCTGCATGGACTGCTTCCTTGAACTCTAGAATGGAAGTCGATGGAAGAAATTCTCAACAGCACTGAATCTCCTAGGAACCTCAGTCGTCCTGGGGAGAAAGGAAAGAGATGTGAACAGAGCACATTTCATAAAAGTCTTCAAATCATCGGACAACAAGGGCTCAATCGAGTGGGACCAGCCGGGCTCTCGGCCACCTGCTTCAGCCTCGCCTCCCTAGAGGTGGCCCAGGGAGCCAGCCTGACATCTCCAATTGTTTTTCAATCCAAGACTCACTTGATTAAGACAAATGGGAATTCGGACCCTCTAGTCTACCTGCCCCTGTTTTCTCCGGCAAAGGTCATCATCTTCATCACCTAGAAAAATAGCCCGCTTTTCTGTGACTTTGTTTTTAAATGTTCAATTTCGGGCCTTTTGACATCAATTCTAATCTTGAGGTGAAATACACTTCAGAAAAACAAATCTGTGAGTAGGTCAAGGTCAACTTGGGGGCTGACTCTTGGCAAAAAAACAACAACAAAAAAAACTACAAAGGACCCAGTCAGTTATTCCCCAGCCTCTTTGGGTAGTGAGCCCAGAACAAAAGAGAAAAGAAATGCTCATTCATTTGCTTCGCTGCCTTCGCATGGCTAATACATAGTTGCTTGATGTGACAATGTTTGGAGACTTGAAATGAAGTCACATTGGTCCACTCTGCTGTCCATTTTTTCCATCCCTTGCTTTTATATAAATCTCTGGGGCTTTCTTGTAGATTGGCATAATACAGACCCACCAAAAAGAAAAATCCCTTGTAAATCTAGCACTGCATAAAAGCTTTGAGATTTTTTTTTAAAACAGAAATGCCTGGCCAGTGTGGCTCAGTGGTTGAGCATCGACCCATGCACCAAGAGGTCGCCGGTTCGATTCCTGGTCAGGGCACATGCCCAGGTTGTGGTCCCGATCCCCAGTGGGGGACATGCAGGAGGCGGCAAATCAATGTTCTCTCTCATTGATGTTTCTCTCTTTCTCTCCCTCTCTCTAAAAATCAATAAAGAAAAGAAGAAAAAAAAAGAAAGAAAAAAAAGCCCTGGCTGGTTTGGCTCAGCAGTTAGAGCGTCGACTTGCGGTCCAGAGAGAGCCAGGTTCGGTTCCCGCTAAGGGCACGTACCGCAGTTGCAGTTTGTCCCCGGCCCCAGTTGGGGTTGTGTGGGTGGCAGCCAGTCAATGTGTCTCTCTCACATCAATGTTTCTCTCTCTCTCTTCGTCCCTCTTGCTCTATCTGAAGATGAATGCAAAAATGTCCTTGGGTGAGGATTAAAAAAAAAAGTTGCCCTGGCCGGTCTGGCTCAGCGGTAGAGCACTGGCCCTCAGACCAATGAGTCACAGGTTCGATTCCAGACAAGGGCCCATACCTTGGTTGTGGTTTGTCCCCAGTCCTGGTCAGGGTCGCGTGGGAGACAACCAGTCGATGTGTCCCTCTGACTTCGATATTTCTCTCTATCTCCCATTTTCTTCCTCCCACTATATTTGAAGGTAAATAGAAAAATACCCTCAGGTGAGGATTTAAAAAAAAAAGAAAAGAAAAAGGTCCCAGATCGTCACCTTTCACACCCTGAAGAAATTTTCCTGATACTAACACACCCTCGGGAATGCCACGGAATTCCACCATGGCTGGAGGGTCAAGTTTACGCTGCTGTCTCCTTGTCCTATACATAACCACCATCCATATGTATGAAACCTGCCAAGAGATAAACTACACCAATGCCAGGTCCGTGGCCCTTGACCTACCCACTCCGCATCCTCTGCCCCATCCCCTTGCTCTCGGGTTTCTGCCGTGGCCCCCTGGGAACATCTTCGGGCCATGATGTTGTCTGTCCATGATGTCCCTGTCTTTCCATCACCAGCGAAATTACATTTGGTCACTGTTCCAGCCTCAAGTTTGGCCAATGAATCTGAAAGAAAGAAAGAAGTTGAGTGGCCTCTCTCCCTGATGCGGAAACATAGTAGGGTCTGGCCCATCCTGCTGGGGTCCTGGATTAATCCCTGCAGCCTGGATTAAGCCATTGTTCTCTTCAGGCCTGGGTGTAGGTCTCATGGAGATCTTGGATGGGACACCCCCCAGGGCACCAGACAGAAGAAGCTACCCACAGGCACCATGATATTCTGCAGGACCCCAGGATCCAAGATGTCCAGGCTATTGGCCTCAGGGCACCTGTCCAGGGACTTAGGAATATGTCTCAAGGGGTCATGTCTCCACGGAGGCCTGACCTGGCCAGCTCCCATGAGTGCTAAGCAGGAGGGGAGCCCCTACAAGCCAAATGGGAGCACGAGGCCACAGAGAGAGCTGCATTGCTCACCCAGGAAGGGGCCGTCGCCTCGCGTTTTCAGCCGTACCCCGGCCCCCAGCTCCAGCTCCACTGCCTCCATCTCGGACTCGGGCATCCAGAACGCCACTGTCTGCTCGGGCGTGAGGTTCTCCGTCAGGGCGAGCAGCTCCGGCTTGTTGACCAGCTCCTTCAGTGCCTCGGGCGTGAGTCTGTCCGTCTCCCCCTTGGCGTCCACCTCTGCAGGCACACAGCACAGAGCATTATCCCCGCTGTGAGAGCAGCTGAGGAGGAGCAACCGGGTGAGGGCTGAGCGTTCTACACGCTCACAACCACCTGCAGGTAGGACTGAGCACCCATCCTTCCAGGATCATCAAGGAGCTCACGGCAGAGGAGGTTCGGGCATGGGCTCATGGTAAATGCTCAGTAAATTTTCAGAGAATTAACGAGCCACGGAAAGCATGCATGAACGCAGTGACAGGGATGGATGGATTCCCGCTCAACCTCAAACTATTCTCACGCAGGGGCAGACAGCAGAGGTCCTTCTACTGCCAAAACCAGGAAGAGAGATGAAATCCCGAAGGGCCGATGAACCAAATGAGAATTTTGGCAGGAAAGGGCCCTGGCCTGGGCTCTGCATAAAGGTAGTTAGAACCCAGCCAGTATGGCTCAGTGGTTGAGTGTCGATCCATGCACTAAGAGGTCACCGGTTTAATTCCTGGTCAGAGCACATGCCCAGGTTGTGGGCCTGATCCCCAGTGGGGGACATGCAGGAGGCAGCCAATTGATGTTCTCTCTCATCGATGTTTCTATCTCTCTCTCCCTTCCTCTCTCTCTAAAATCAATAAAGAAAAATAAAATAAAATAAAATAAAATTAAATAAAATAAAATTAAATAAAGATAGTTAGAGCCCAGAGTCAGGTTCAGGAATGATTCTGCCAGACTGGGGTGGGGCACTGGGATCCTCTGAGTGAATGGGGTACAGGAAGGAGTCCAGCCAGGGGGCCCTCAGACCAGACATGGGCTGTAAAGTCAACCACGCTAAAAGAACTCTTTCTAGGAGCCAAGAGGCACCTGGAGACAAAGGAAGGACACAGTGCAGGAGGGCCGGAGGGAGGAAGGGTATTGGTACCTACTGTAGGATGACATGAGGAAGCCTGTGTTCACCTTCCTGGTGTCGCTGAAGTTGGGCTCGATTTCATTTCCCTTGGGGTCAAACTTACGGCGATGGATGCGACTGGGCCGGATATACAGCACATAGTAGCGCTCCTGGGGGGCAGAGAGAGTGAGGGGGATGCTCACTGCCCCAACCCTCCAACACACACACACACACACACTCCCCACAGGGCTCCACGCAGCCATCCCAACCTCACTCTCTGCCCCAGAACTCTACCCTCAGCTCCAAAAATATTCAAGCTGCACAGATCCCCACTCCAATATCCATCCATCCATCCATCCATGTGTCTAACAGACCACTGGAGATGGGGTTTTGAAGAACTCAGTTCTAGAGACCAAGGAGACAGGTGGTCAGCACACTGGAGTGAGGATATTTGAAAAGGGAGTGGACGTTCAGAAATAGTGCTCAGGAGAGAGATCAGACAAGTACAGGATGGTGACCACCAGGTGTGTCTGTGGACACCTTAGATGAGGGGGTGATAAGAGGCATGACCCCAGAAGGGTGAGAGGGCAAGGGGAGGGGGCATGGGCATGGGCACTGAAGCCCGGGCAGTGTAGCAATGTGGCCATCACACTGGAAACAAAGGCCCAGCATGTAACAAACCTCCTCCCACCTCTGTGCTTCCTGTTCATCCACACACGAGGGTCAGGGCCACAGTGATGACCTGCTTCATAAAAACCCAACATTCCAAAATGTGCAGCCCTGACTGGGCAGCTCATTTGGTTACAGTGTCATCCTAATACGCAAAGGTTGCCAGTTTGATCCCCGATCAGGGCACGTAAAGGAGTCAACCAATGAATGCATAAACACATGAAACAACAAATGGATGTTTCTTCTCTCTCTCCCTCTCCCTCAAAATAAACTTCAAAAATGTACAACCGCACAGAGTGATATTAAAAGACGAGCAAGCCCATGCCAAGAGATTCACCACCATGCAAATGACGTCCCCTCAAAGCTCCTTCTGACAGCAAATTCCACCAGTGCATTTAAAGTAATTCCATTCCAAAAAAGTCAAAGTACACAGGACTTCCTGGGAACAGAGCCGATACCTAGAATGGGGAAGGTCACTGCTGACCCTGCACCCACATTGGCCGATACCCTGCTCTGACCTTGTCCATCAAGACAAGCAGTGGGGTGCTCGCTTCGGCCCCACATATACTACAACTGGAGCGATACAGAGAAGAGTAGCATGGCCCCTGAGTAAGGATGACACGCAAATCCGCGAAACATTACATATTTAAAAAAAAAAGATAAGCAGTGGGAACCACCAGACCAGGGGACAGGAGACTGAGCCCTCAGCCTCCCAGAATAGTCGCTCATCCTGCCCACCCCAGCAAAGCACCCGGCACTCAAAATCGGTTCCATCAGGAGGCCACAGAATCTCTTCCGAGGGCCTTTCAGCCCACTCCACACCCACAGCCTTAGTCCCGAATCACTCACCTCACCCCTTCCTGCTCTCAACCCTCCCAATATCTGCCCCAAACACAGCACTTGGGTCCAGGACCTGGTCTATCTTCTCAGCAAGAACCCAGACCCTCCCATGTGTCCGCAGCCCAACACATTGTATTTGATCCCTTGCCCCTCAGCAGCCCCTTTTGGCTGCTAAATATCTAACCCACTTCCCACCGGCCCCGTAAGCCCCTCAAGGAAAGAGCTGGACCCCAAGACTTGGCACTGGTCGAGTCAAGCACAGGGAGACGCCTTGGTGGGTGAGGACCAGGAGGCCAGTGTCTGTTCCTGCAGGTGTCCCCGAACATCCTCACCTTCCTGCCATGAACATCCGAGATGCTGTGCCGAGATACATCGATCAATTCTCCTTCCAGCAGAACACCATTTCCCCTGGGGATGAGAGGAAAAGGGTGGGTCAGCTGGTCCTGCCAGTCCTCGGGAAGGAGGCACAAGTTCTATGGCCCAGGTCACTGGGACAGAGGCAACTCCCATGTGTCTCTCCTGTTCACATAGCCCCTGAGCAACCCCCTTCTCTGCTTCCCACATGAGGCCTCCATTCCTTTGAGGGTCCTTAAGGCCGAGGCCCTGCTCAGAGGGTAGGAAGAAACCTGTCAGGCTCCCAGACCAAGCTGTGGCCCCTCCTGCAGGAAGTATTGTAACCAAAGCTTCAGTGTTCTTATCTACAAAATGGGAGAGTAACAGCTGTCTCACCTTGCTTCTATGATGATAATATAAGATCACTTATGTGAAGGTGTCCGGTAAACTATTCAGTGTGTAATAAATATAAAAGATCTTGCTTTTTTATTTAACCAAATTAGGAGGGGTGTCTAAGTTGCTATCTTCCCTGCCCTGACTGGGTAGCTCAGTTGGTTAGAGCGTTGTCCAGATACACTAAGGTTGTGTGTTCGATTCCAGGTCAGGGCACATACAAGAATTAACCAATGGCCCTGGCCGGTTTGGCTTAGCAGTTAGAGCGTCGGCCTGCGGTCCGGAGAGACCCAGGTTCGGTTCCCGCTAAGGGCATGTACTTCGGTTGCAGTTTGTCCCGGGCCCTGGTTGGTCATGTGGTGGTAACCACTCAATGTGTCCCTTTCACGTCGATGTTTCTGTCTCTCTCTCTCTTCCTCTCTCTCCCTCCCACTCTATCTGTACAAAAAATGGAAAAATGTCCTCGGGTGAGGATAAAAAGTAAATAAATAAAAAAAGAATTAACCAATGAATGCATAACTAAGTGGAACAACAAATCACTGTTTCTTTCTCTCAGCAATCAATAAAAACAAAGTATCTTTCCTTTTCCCTTGTTTTAAAGCACTCTCATGTTCCTGTTCCCAGAGCCCCTTTAGAGGTGGAGAAGCCCACCAATCAAGATCTCAGGGTCCCCACTGAGAGGAGCTGGACCCCCCCTTCCTGATCCCAGTTTTCATAAAAGCAGAACCTGTGGGCTTCCTTTCTTGGAACGACAGAAATGGGAGAGAAGTGGGGACAGCTGAAGGGTTGGGGATGCACTGGGACAACCGGCTGTACCTATCTGCCCCTATCCACCCCCTCAACCCTCAATTCTTCCGCGCTGGTAACTGCAAATGTCACGGTCCATTTGTTTTCACCACCTCTGGCGCCCTGACTGCAGGCCTGGCCCCCCATCCCACACCCGCCCTCAGCCCTGACACCACGGGTCCGCTCCTCTGGGGATCTGGGGCTCTGGGGCGGGGCGCAGGCTGTGCCACCGCCCGAAGGAAGGGGTGGCATACTGGCAAGTGGCTGCCGCAGAGTGGGGTGGAGGCAAAGGTCGTTTGAGAACCGACTGCGTCTTCTGAGGCTCGTTTGGGGGCCTGGGGAGCGCAGGGGAGGTTTCAGGCGACTGGCGTCTCCGGGGGTGCGCGCTGGCTGCGGGCGAGGGGAGGGGAGCGCCCGAGGGGCGGCGGGGTTTACCGCTGGTGCGCGGCGGGCTCCCAGGCCCCGGGCAGCCGTTCGCTCCGCACCGCCTTGTTCCGGAGCGCGCTGTCCTGGTAGATGCGGCTCATCGTGCCCAGGCCCACGCGCACCCGGGACACCGAGTGGGGACACGCCGGGGACACGCCGGGAACGCCCGCCGGGACCCAGCGGCTCCAGGCTGCGGAGCCAGGAAAGCGCGGCGGCCCCCGAGTTCCTGGGCGGGACTTAGAGGGGCCGAGCCTCACTCCTGCCCTGCACCCTGCGCGCTGGGCGGGGCTTCCGGGAAAACCCTCCGCGGGGGCCTTAGCGCTTCCTTTCCTTTCCTCGCCGCTTCCTATCCCTGGGGGGAGACCCGAGCCCCAACACCCGCACAGAGGAGACACTGAGGCCCAGAGATGCTGCAGGGTCCCCGGAGGAATGGGTTTTCAGAGAGCAGGAATGGAGAAAAGGGGAAAGCTATTGGGGAGCTCCTTATGCCGCGCCCCAGGTCCCCAGTGGCTGAGGTTCCGGGGATCCGCAATGAGGGAGCCTAGGCTTGGGTGTGAGATCCAGGACTTACCACGGTTTGGAGTCCCAGCTGTGTGAGTTTGGACAGGTTCCTCCGTCCTCTGTAAAATGGGGTTCGTGTCAGAGGGGCTGCCAAGATTAATAAACTTGCTCTAGAACACCCTCTCTGTCCTCCCTCGCAGTTCTTGGGCCCCTGCCCAGCTCCCTACTGCCCTTTGTCCAAGTAGGTCCCTTTCTAGGGTGCGCTGGCCAAGCCTGGTGCAGGGGGATGTTTTGCAGAGCTTGGGTCCTCTTGTTTGACTCCTTTGTGCTAAGATCTGGGGCAGGTGGGCCCATTCATGGAGCCCAGGTGTGGTCTCTGGGGGAGCATTCAAAGGGGAGGTGGCCAGGTAGATACCTGGGACCGAAAGAGGAGCCATCAGTGGTAGAAGCAGCACCCTCCCCCAACCACACATGACCCCTCCCCCATACACATGACTTTCATGGGATTTAGGCACTTTTGTTTTCAAAGGTTCCTTCCTCCATTAAATTTTTTTGTAATTACATTTTATGCAGGGGTTGACATAAAGATGAATATATTATTATATATAATAACATTTTATTTGCCCCCCTTCTTATTTCTCTTCTGATTTTAAAAGAAATGAAGACCACTGGCCCTGGCCAGTGTGTCTCAGTTAATTGGAGCGTCATCCCATAAACCAAAAGGTGGTGGGTTTAATTCCTGTTCGGGGCACACACCTAGGTTTCAGGTTCAATCCTCAGTCGGGAGCAACTGATTGATGTTTCTGTCTCACACGTAGATGTCTCTGTCCCCATTCCTCTCTCTAAAAATCAATACGAATATATCCTGGGGTGAAGATTATAAAAACAAACCTCCCCAGGCTGGTCATAGCCACATGGCTGGAGTTCCCCGGTCCTCCTTCCCCTTTCTGTGTCATCCTTCTCCACAAATGGCGGCAAGTCATTGCTACCTTATATGGTAGCCACTAGCCACATATGGCTATTCAAGTTTAAATTTTAAATAAACCTAAATAAAATTTTAAATTCAATTCCTCAGTCTCACTGGTCACATTTCAAGTGCTCAGTAACCAGCCACATGTAGCTTGTGGCTACCACTGTGAACAGCACAGACATAGAATATTTCTTTCCATCATCACAGAAAGTTCTAGTGGACGGTGTGGCTGTAAGTCCTTTCTAGGGAAGACTAGTCTCCTGCTCACTGAGCTCCGTGGCTTCACCCCATCAGCACCATCGGCAGACAAGGCACCAGAAAGACAGGGAACCTAAAAGAACAAGCAAACACTTTTTTAAAAACATGTTTTTATTGATTTTTTTAGAGAGAGAGAGAGAGAAACATCAATGTGAGAGAGACACATAGATCAACTGCCTCCTGCACGCCCCCTACTGGGGTTAAAACCCCAAACCTGGGCATGTACCCTGACTGGGAATCAAACCAGGACCTCTCAGTCCAGGGGAGGACACTCAGTCCACTGAGCCACACTAGCGGGGCCAAACACTTTTTTTTTAATCCTCACCCAAGGATATTTTCCATTTGTTGTTGTTGTTGTTGTTGTTCAGATAGACTGGGAGGGGGAGAGAGAGAGAAAAACATCAATGTGAAAGGGACACATCGAGTGGCTGCCACCCGCACGACCCAACCAGGGCCGGGGACAAACTGCAACCAAGGTACGTGCCCTTAGCGGGAACTGAACCCGGGTCTCTCTGGACTGCAGGCCAATGCTCTAACTGCTGAGCCAAACCAGCCAGGGCACCAAACACTTTTTTTAAAAAAAGGTTTTGATATTTATTTCCTAAAAAGCATGAATCATCATGGGAAAAAAACAGAACTTTGTTGGACTTTCTTACACCTATTTGTAGGCTACCGATATCTCTATATGAAATTATAAACCACCAGGTAACAACATAGAGACAGCTTCAGCTCTGAGCCCCTCCATTCCAAGGACGGGTTTGGAAAGCGCTAATGATGTGTTCACATCGGTTTTGTCACATTTTCATAGGTAGCACACTTTGGGTGCTATCGGTTAAGATCACTACCTCTTTGCCTGTGTTTCTTTTCATTTCATATCAGATGATGTTGGAGTGGATCTGAGTGAGGGAATGTAGACATTGGACACATTTATTTATTTTGTTTTATTTTTTCTTTATTGATTTGAGAGAGGGAGGAAGAAAGAGGGAGAGAGAAATAGAAACATCCATGAGAGAGAACATCAGTTGGATGCCTCCTGCATGCCCCCAACTGGGGATCGGGCCCACAACCTGGGCATGTGCCCTGACGGGGAATCGAACCAGCCACCTCTTGGTGCATGGGTCGACGCTCAACTGCTGAGCCACACCAGCCAGGCGACATTGGACACATTTAGTTTGGGTTTCGTGAAAATGATTTACATAGTCTGTAGTCTCTCCCACCCAGAATTCTGCCTTTGCCTGTTGTCCAGGTGTAGGAGGGCCCTACTGACCTCTGTGCTGACTCACCTGGTGCAGGGCACAAAGCCTGTGACATGAAGGAGCAGGGCAAGGGGTCCTGTCACAGCAGACACGTGTCCTGCAGTGCCTGGCACTGAGACTGTGTGAGGATTGGAGAAGGAACAAGGTGTGAAACATAAAGAGCCAGAAGCTGGTGGCAGAAAAACCCTTCCCCTCATCAGACAGGTAAAATTGTGAGTGGAGGATTTGGTTCTCATTAACCCTGTCAAAACAGAAGTTCTTTCAGGAATGTTCTTGCTAAAGCTGTGCAAGTAATTATAAACACGTGAGCATTTTTTTTTTTTCTCTTTTGGTGGGAATTGGGCAACACAGAATTTATCAGGATCCCCACAGGGCACAGATAAGTAACAGGCAAACGGAGGAGGCTGTGTGTGTGCGTGTGCGTGTGCGTGTGCGTGTGCTGGTTGAGTCTTAAGTCTTAGAGGTTTTTTTTTTGTTTTTGTTTTTAATCCTCACCCAAGGATATGTTTTTATTGATTTTTAGAGAGAGAGGAAGGGGAGAGGAGAAACATTGGTTGCCTCCGGTATGCAACCCAGCTGGGAATGGAACCTGAAACCTTTTGGTGTATGGGACAATGCTCCAACCGAGCCATTTTAGCATTTCTGACACGTTTGGATAAAATCCGGTGTTTCCAGAACTAGAGTGCCAATTGCTACAAGTGCAGCGATAGGACCTGAAACACACACACACACACAGAGCACACAGCAAGAGACACGAAACAAAGGAAGCACTCAGGAGAGAAGGCATAATGTGAAATAAGATGCCAGAATAAGAACTAAACCTATCCATCACGTGGCATCAATAAATGCAAATAGGGCAAGCCTTGTTTGGAAAGAAAATCTATGGCGTGCCTTTGTGTCAGACATCTCTCCGTGCCACAGGAATGTTCGTCTTCATGGAGCCTTTGACATATCCTGTCCTGGCCTCTCTGTCTCGTGACCAACTCTGCTTCGGCTCCAACTGACCGCATGCAGAAGCCATCCTCCACACCTCGCCTCGTGGCCACACCACACCACTTGCCCCCTAAGACAACTGGTCCCAACGGTGCTCCTTACAAGAGGACGCTCAGGACAGGACGGTGAAATTGCATTGCCTATTGTTCTGATGGCAAAGGGACATGATTGCTAATGGTAAGTGGGCATGAGGTAGCATTGACATTACTAAGGTGTCATCACCAGTTCACGGGGTTGAGGTGCAGGTGAAATTGAGCTGGGAAGGGAGTGCCTGTGGCATTTGATTGGTATGGAGGCAACGATAATGATAACAACTGTCGAGTAAGATTTTTCCCCCCCTTTTTTGAGAGAGAGAGGAAGTGAGAGCCAGATGAGCAAGCTGACTTTTATGAACAACACTAGAGACCTTGCTAGATGCCTGGCCAGTGTGGCTCAGTGGCTGAGCATCGACCCATGCACCAAAAGGTCACCAGTTTGATTCCTGGTCAGGGCACATGCCCAGGTTGTGGGCCCGATCCCCGGTGGGGGGCGTGCAGGAGGCGGCCAATCGATGTTCTCTCTCATCGATGTTTCCATCTCTCTCTCCCTCTCCCTTCCTCTCTCCCTAAAATCAATAAAGAAAAAAAAAAAAAAGGAAAAGATAGCATCAGAGTAGCTAATGGTTAACTTAAGCACATGTAGAAACCATGGAGACTTGAGCTCTTAAGGAGACTCCAGGTCTTGAGGATACTCAAGCCTCCTGCACCTTCAGGACAGACTGTGAAAAATCAGGCTCAGCAGCCGATTGGAAGGGAGACAGGGCTGCCACAGGAGGCTGGACGTGCAGCTCTGACAGATGTCAATCAGCCTCCCCTACCTCCAGGGAAAGAACAGGACCCTGGGATGCGGACATTGGGTGGGTGGATGAGCCTGATAAGCTTGAACTCCAAATTCCCCTGAACTCCCCTGGTCAACAGAAGCAGCCCCTCCTCTTGTCTGGAGACTGTGGGGGCCTCCCTGGAAGCGGAGGCCTTGCAACATGTCCTTTGCTTAAGACCTGCCTCCATCACCGCTCATCACGTCCAGGCCAATAATCAGAATTGGTTCTCACCACAACCTAAGCTGGAAGGTGCAGTCTCTACTCCCACGGGATCAGCTTACACACCCAAGGCATTGCAGACCTGGCCACCACATGCCGTGGGGATTGGGGAAGCCACATGGCAGTGGGCCTGAGGTGAACGACCAGGGGAGTGGGAAATAAGGCTGAACTGGGGAGATTTTATTGATATGGGCTATTTCCCTGGGATATGGCATTCAATATCCTAGCAAGGGAGTTAAGTCTTAATAGTATGCAGAGATGGCTACGAAACTTGCACATGACAATGAGGCGGAGATGCCAGAACTTTCTTGACACAGCCTGGGCTCGTGGAGAACCCACCTGGCAAGCCCCCATCTCAGTTGCCTGGCTGGGGGTAGTGCCCACTGCGGATCAGGTCAGCATAGACTCTGGCCTTCTGCAGCTGGAGAGCTGATGAATGCGTTCTTCTTGATCCTCATTAATGGAGAGAATCAATCTGCTTGCTTTTCAGTGGGAAGGACAGCAGAACACAGTCACAATTTTCCCCGTGGGCTATGACATCGTTCTTGCTCTGTGTCACAAAACAGATCACCTTATCCTACAGAACATAATGGTTGTCCATTACATTGATGACATCATCTTCATTGGACTCGATGAGCAGAAATTGGCAAGTACTCTACATGCCCTAGTAAGACATGTGTGACAGAGAGTAAGAGATAAACCCCCAAAAAACTCATTGGTGAAATGTTCAGGAATCTAGTAGTCTTGGATGCACTGAGACATTTCTATGAAAGTCAAGGACAATTGTTGCATCTGCACCTATGAAAGAGCACAGGGCCGTTAAGTACTATGCATGCAATATCAAACTAGCTTACTTATTATTAAGTAAAAACAGCCAAGTACAATATAGTGCGCCCAACTATCACTCATTCAACAAATGCAGTTGTCCCTCTGAATCTGTGGGTTCTGCATCTGCAGATTCAACCAACTGCAGATAAAAAATATTTGAAAACCAAAAATTATGTTGTTGCTGATGTGTACTATGTAGTGAGGCCTATGATGGTGGCATCTGTCCTGAACATGTACAGACTTTTTTTCTTGCCATTATTCCCTAAACAATACAGTGTAACAACGATTTACATAGCATTTACATTGTATTAGGTATTATAAGTAACCTAGGGATGACTTGAAGTAAACAGGAGGGCCCAGGCTGGGTAGCTCAGTTGTTAGAGTGTCGTCCAGGTATGCCAAGTATGCAGGTTTGATCCCCAGTGAAGGCACATACAAGAAGCAACCAATGAATGCATACATAAGTGGAATGACAACTGATTGATGTCTGTCTATTTGTCTCTCTCAAATCAATAAATAAAAATTTTAAAAATAAAGTAAGTGGGATGATGTGCATGCGTTGCATGCAAATACTATGCCATTTTATATAAGGGACTTGAGCATCCTCAGACTTGGTATCTGCAGGGGAGTCTTGGAACCAATCGCCCTCAGACGTGGAGGGATGACTGAATTAATCCAGCACTGCCTTTATGCTAGGAACTGTCCCAGGTCCTGGAGAAATAGAGGCAAACAAAACTGCTCAGATTCAAGCTGTCAGGAAGCTTACATCCTGGTAGAGGAGAGGGGCGATGAACAAACAAGACAACCTAGAAATGATTTCATCTCCAACCGAGGTAGATGCAAGGAAGGAAACGCAACCAAGACGTGTGACAGTGACACAGCGGGTGCAATAAGTCTGCTGTAGAACGGGGTCACGGAAGACTTCTCGCAAGGTGCTGTTTGAGCTGAGGCAGCAGGATGCAAGAAAAGGGACCAGCGGCAGGAAAGAGCTTAGAATGCCAAGGGCCACAAAGATAGCCAGACCAGCTGGGGTGTGGTGACTAGCAGAAAGAGCGGTACAGATGTCTGAGCAGTAGGCGGGGCTCAGAATTTGTATTTTACTCTAAAGACATGTTCTCGTTGTGTAAAAATAGGAGGCTACAGATGTACATAAATGCATGTCTTCTTGCAGAATGTGCTTGTTTATGTACATAATATTTCTGGAAGGAGAAACAAGCTGCCTTGGGGACGGGGGCTCCGGGGCGGGAAGGAGACATGTGTTTCATGGTGTATCTTTTTATGCTGTTTGATATTTCCACCATGTACGTGAATTACTTTTTCAATTAAAACCTAGTTAATTTTTTAAACTGTGGAAACATCTTAATATTCAACCTCAGTTGTAATCAGAGAAATGCAAATTAAAACATCACGGAAATAACATTTTTTCGGACAGACTTAAAAACTAATAAAGCTCACAGTTGATGAGGACATGAGAAAATGAACTCCTCTACTGTCTGTATGTTTTATTCATGAAAATGAGTGTATCTATAAGGAATGGAGTCCACAGTTATCAAATATGAGCTAATTCTTGCTAATGTATAAGTGCTCCTCATATCTACCCCCCCCCCCAATTTGTCATTAGATTCAGAACGTATGCATCCCTAAAAGGTTATTTGAGCCCTGGCCAGTTTGGCTCAGCAGTTAGAGCATTCGCCCACAGACCAAAGGGTCACAGGTTTGATTCTGGTCAAGGGCATGTACCTGGGTTGCAGGTTTGATCCCCAGCCCTCGTAGGAGGTCGTATAGGAGGCAACCAATCAATGTGTCTCTCTTTTTTTTTTTTTTCCTCACCCGAGGATATTTTTCCATTTTTTGTACAGATAGAGTGGGAGGGAGAGAGAGAGAGAAACATCGATGTGAAGGGACACATTGAGTGGCTGCCACCCACACGACCAACCAGGGCTGGGGACAAACTGCAACCGAAGTACGTGCCCTTAGCGGGAACCGAACCCGGGTCTCGCCAGACTGCAGGCCGACCCTCTAACCGCTGAGCCAAACCGGCCAGGGCTCAATGTGTCTCTCTTGCATCGATGTTTCTCTTTCCCTCCCTCCTTTCCACTCTAACTAAAAATCAATAGAAAAATATCCTTGGGTAAGGATTTAAAAATAAATAAATAAAAATTATGCCCTGGCTGGTTTGGCTCAGCAGTTAGAGCCAACAAAACAAAGAGTCGCGGCTTTGATTCTGGTCCAAGGGCACATACCTCGGTTACGGTTCAGTCCCGGCCCCGGTCCAAATTTCAAATAACCTTTTAATTGTTTATTTATTATTTTTTAAATCCTCACCCGAGTATATTTTTCCATTTATCTTCCGAGAGAGTGGGGATGGGGCCTGGGGGAGAGAAACATCAAATCGAGAGAGACACATTGATTGGTTGCCTCCTCTCAGTCCATGGGACAACAGTCAATCCACTAAGCCACACCGGCCGGGCTGCACCTATTTTTATAGGTATCTCTATGTATTCCAGGTCAATGAGAGCCCCTAAAGTGACAATCAACCTTTAGGGCTTAGGGCTTCCCAGGCAGGTCTCTCTCTGCCCAACAGGAGCCTCCGTGCTAAGACAAAATCTGAGCGACAGTAACTCCCATGGAGCCCGACTATTTGAAGCAAGGTGTGCCTAAGAGATTCCCAGACTCACCTACCAGAATAATAAAGAGTGTCTCTTTCAATGCCTGCGCCTCTGCTGCTCACCCTATGTGGCTGATTTGCCTAGAGCACCTGAAACTTCCGTTCCTAGGAATGGATTAAACCTGTTCTTCCCCGGACTAGATGTCTCCACGCTGGGCACGGATCTGCCAAGAGGCACCTGGAGTATCAGGGGTGCTGAGACTCCCAAGAAATAAATCGCAAGTAAAATAACTTGATATTGCATGCAGAGTACCAAAGGAGCCCTCCAAGCACTATGCTCTTTCTGTAAGACACTGAGTTCCAGAAAGTAAATGTCCTCCTGTTCAAAGTTGCAAATGTTGCTATGCTGACCATAGGGGAAACCCTCCGACAGAGCAGAGGTAGGGACAGGCCAGAGGGATTTCTGTGAGCGTCACTTCAGGGACCTCCAGCCACACTCCCCTGCTCCCCTGCACTGCACACTGTTCATCTTGTCACTGCCTTCTTCATCTTGTCACAACATGATTGTATTGAAACCTTTGTTTGTTTTTGTTGCCTATGGAGAAGTACATCATCTCCAAGGATTAGAACGCCAAAATCGGGGGGGTGCTCCTAGCATTGCCAGCACGGATGCCAACCTAAATGGAAAAGTATTCACCACCGTGTTCACAAAGAAAGGGGTGGTGTTCAATGGTAACCTTTGGGAACCATCTTGGAGAAACTCTACAGCTCTATTTAATCTTTGAAGGCCAGTGTTATAAAGATATCCCACCAATTTTTCCCTGCAAACTGTCCCACTTGGATTGGATATTGGAGAACAGGGGGAAATGACCATTTCCTACACTCTGTCCCTCGGCACGGTCATCCACATCTTGTTTCAGCTGGTTTATGTCGATCTGAGAAGAACAAGGGGTTTCAAGAATCCATTTGTGACATTTGCTACATTGGGTTTTGTTTTATTTATTTTTATTATTATTATTATTATTTTTCCTTTATTGATTTTAGAGAGAAAAAGTGAGAGGGAGAGAGATAGAAACATTGGTGAGAGAGAACATCGATTGGCTGCCTCCTGCATGCCCCCCACTGGGGATCAGGCCCACAACGTGGGCATGTGTCCTGACCGGGAATCGAACCAGCGACCTCTTGATGCAGGGGTCGACGCTCAAGCACTGAGCCACACCGGCCGGACTTTATTATTTTTAATTCTCATCCGAGGATATTTTTACATTGATCTTCAGATATAGCGGGAGGGAGAGAGGGAGGAAGAGAGAGAGAGAGAAACATCGATGTGAGAGATACACATCAACTGGTTGCCACCCGCACGACCCCAACCAGGGCCGGGAAAGAACCGCAACCGAGGTACATGCCCCCAGCTGGAATCGAACAGGGGACTCCTTGATCCGCAGGCCAACACTCCAACCGACTGAGTCAAACTGGCCAGGGCTGGGCTTTGTTTTAGATCTCCATACTCATTGTAAAAAAATTGGAAAGTATAGGGGAGCACAAAGAAGTCAAATCATCTGGATTCCTCCATTCAAAGTAACTTAACATTTCAGTGCATTGCCTCCTGTTTTTCTATATCGCTGAGATCTTCCAGTATATGCACATTTATTTCCTGATTTCTACTTATTACATAATTAACATAGTCCATAAAGATCATTTTCATAACTGGGTATAATTATATTTTATGCACATGCAATAACTGGTTAAACCACTCTCCTACTGCAATACATTTAAGTCGTTTCTAAGCTTTCCTTTTTAAAAATGTAGCAGGTTTTGAAATGCAACACAAATGTATCTGGGGTGTGATAAAAAAAAAATGCAGCTCTTTCATGTACAGTATTCTGGTCTTCTCATGTCCTAGTATCTGGCTAGTGTGGAAAAAATAGTTACTTTTAAAATCTTAGTCTTACGCAATAATCCTTACAGGCAAGACTCAGTCTCTTTAAGAAAAAAAAGGTGAGTTTTCCACTCCTGTCCAGATGGCCACTGGGGAGCAGAAGGGGACAGATTGTGGTTTCTGGGATCCTAGGAGCAGGATTGGGAATGAGACCCGGGGTCGTTAGCTGTAGGTTTGCTCAGGTCCTTCTGAATCTGGGGTGATATGGGTCACAGTGATCCCCTCCAGCAACTTCAGGGCTCACTGTCAGCTACATGAGGATCCCACCCACCCATGGGGGCACTGCAGAAGCTCAGGAGCAGGATGGTGCAGCCTCCCCAGGGGCTCCAGGCAGAGATGCAAAGCCCTCTTCATCATGGGTGCCACTAGATTACTGGCTTATCCAACGTGGGTCTCATTTCTGCCTGACTTGCTCTCCCCCTCCTCCACAGCTCTCAATTCCCACTGTCCCCAAGGCTCTGCCACACATCTCTCCAGTGCAGGCCAGCAAACCTGTGGCCTGCCTTCCTGAGTGGAAGGATTACCTTTTCCACTTAGGGAAGACCCCACAGACTGAGTCCTCTGGGCTTGGCCGTTGAAATGCTAAAGGAAGAGCTTGCAAAGGTACCTAGGATCCAATCAAAATAATTTAGAAGATCTTCTTTTGAGACAGACACCGTTTTTGCAACGCTAATGTCTTGCTGCATAATTCTATTTTGAACGTCAGAAGCTGGATATTAATTCCTTCATTCTCTCTTCATTCTGTCTGTAATTTTGCACTTCAGGGAAATGAATGCCATAAGTTATAAGATGCACTGTTATTTTAGGTACTCCCAAGAAAAAAAGCAAGCTGCCAATTACGTTATGAACAATGTTACCTTATCATTTAAATGTTGTAGTTTCTGAAAGAGATCTTTTCAGGCTTACTCAGACATACATTTTTATCATACATCACTCTTGCGCATAGGTAAAAAGGAAAACAGAAGCGAAATGAATTGGAAAATGTGCCTAAAACTTCTTTACAGAAGAGACTGATGCGGAAAATGATTCTTCTGAATCCCCTTTCAACTCAGAGTTGGTGAAGATCAAGACTCTCCGGTGTTGTCTGTGCCTTAAGGGTGTTGTTGACATAGGCTCTCTTAGCCCAGAGATGAAGAGATCTGCCGCTGCCTCTGGGATTTTCTTCCAAACTGCTGACACCCATCCTGCACCTCCCCAGCCTTGTAAAAGTCTTGCAGAGGTGCTAATAGGGTGTCACACCAAGTGCGCATGTGTGCAGTGACAACCATATCATGACTATTGCCTAGCCAACAGGACACACCCCTCTTTCAAAGAAATGATGAATTCCAGTGAACCTTACTATTTCTCCATCCCACACCTCCTCTTCCACCTCTAGACAGGTGGACGCTTCCAGCCAAACAGACAGAAAGTCATGTTCTTGGAAAGACTTGAATCCCTTCTGAGATATTAATCCTACTACATAAATAATGCCGGAAAAGCAATCTTTGAATATAAACCTTTCACTCCAATGCTGCTGTTTCTTCAGAGAGATTTCTAGAACGGGGTACTTAAGAAATAAGGCTGACTTTTCTTCTCATGAATGTAAATCATAGTTACTGCATCAAATGTGAGGCAGACAGACACACACACACACACACACACACACACACACACACTATGGCGACACTGGGAGACAAGAAGTGCTCTCAGTAAAGCAGAAATGGTCAGGAGCCCTTGAAAGAAAAAAAAAGAGACTAGGCCTAAGGAGGAAATCACAGCATAAACCACATGCAAGAAGATGACTGCTGCAGAAGTAAAGAGCAGCTTAGAGGCTCTTAACTTAGAAATGGCAGATCTGGGGCCCTGGCCAGGTAGCTCAGTTGGTGAGAGTGTCGTCCCAATAAGCCGAGGTTGCGAGTTCGATCCCAGGTCAGGGCACATACAAGGAGCAAACAGTGAATACACAAACAAGTGGAACAACAAATTGATGGTTTGTGTTTTTTTTTCTCTCTCTCTCAAATCAATTAAAAAATAAAAAAAGAAATGGTACATATAGAAAACAGAAAAAAAGCACGGGTACTACTTGAAGGTGATTGGTTGAGGCATCACAGTAGGAATGGGAGACCTGCCTTCTGCTTTCTCCCCTGATTGTTCCCAGAACAGGCCTGCTCACAGTCTGGAGTAGTAAGAAGGGCACAAAGCAGTATCCTGGAAGACCACCAATACTCAGAGCCAAGGAGCTTCTTCGGGCAAAGGCATAAACTACTGGCTCACCTCACCCAGCAGAGTCTTCCATTCTTCCACTACAGTGACTGGATTCGGGATGTAGCAAACAGTTACAATTTTCACAGAGTGGCTCAAGCAAAAAGAACATTTAATTAGCCCTACCCTGTGGCTCAGTGGATTGAGTGTCATCCCATGGACTGAGAGGTCCTGGTTAGATTCCAGGTCAAGGCACATGCCAGGGTTTCAGGCTCAATTCCCAGCAGGAGGCGTGCAGGAGGCAGCTGATCGGCATTTCTCTCTCACATTGATGTGTCTCTCTCTAAAAAAATCAATAAAAACATATTTTTAAAAAAGAACATTTAATTAAAACACATCACAAGATATCTACAGGTGGTTTCAGGTTTGGCATCTCTGACTCAATTAAAGCCATCCAGAACACAGATGTCCTACCTTTCCACTTCACCATCCTTAGTGTTGAGCTGCCTTATGGTCACACAATGGCTGCTGAACTTCAGACATCACATCTATGTCAAAGGGAAAAAAGGAGAGGGGGAGAGGCAGCTATCATTGAGTTTTCCTTGTACACGTATCCCTTTTATAATAAAGCAAAAGATTTCCCAGCAGTTTCTCAGTAGGCTTCCATTTATATCTCATTGGTTAGAACTTTATCACATGCTAACCCTAGCTGCAAGGGAGGCTGGGAAAGAGAGGCACTGGAATTACAATGACTTAGTACAATCATGATTTGTCACCTGAGCTGGTTGGGCATATGACTGCCCAAACACAATCAAGATTCTGTTAGGAAGCAAGAAGTGAGGAATACCTATCGGTGGCCCATTGCTAGAGTCTTCTGTGAAAGATAACCAAAACACTCAAACACAAAGAAAATCACACATCCAAGAATCAAAAAATATTTGAGGATTAACAATACCCTAAAACAGAGATACCAGCCCAACCTGTGTGGTTCAGTTGGTTGGAGCACTATTACATGCACTGAGAGGTTGCCAATTCAATTCCCGGTGAGGGCACATACATAGGTTATGCGTGCGAACTCGGGTCACGCATTGGTTGATACGAGAATCAACCAATTAATGCATAAATAAGTGGAACAACAAGTTGATATTTCTCTCTCTCTCTCCCTCTCTCAAGTCAATGAAAAATATAAAAAACAAACAAAAGAGATTTCACTGTGTGGTCATCTGAAACATGCTTTTTCTTCATTCATCATTATACTGTCCAGATGTAAGGCAACTGTTGCCTAAGTCATAATTTTTTCATTTTCACAGCTCTATGATATTCTATTATTTGAACATATTGAAGTTCATTCATTCATTCACTCATTCATTCATCCATTCTCCTACCTCCTACCAGCTCAGGAGGATTGGGAAAGTGTGCATGTGTGTGTGTGTGCGCGCGCACGCGTGTGCTCGTGTGTGCTCTGACAGTGAGAATTTGATCTTCATCCTCTCCAGTGGAAAGTCAACAGATAATGACTAAAAGTGAAAAATCAAGAAGGAGCAATACGTGCATATCCGTGAGAGATAAAGAAGTAAATCTGAGAAGAATCCGGTAAAGGAGTGAAAGTGGTTTCTGCTGGGGAGGAGGAAATGGTGGGGGGAAAAGGTGGATGCACTGCTATTTTTCATAACAAGACTTACACAATGATTGGATTCTTCCATTCAGTGCACCTATAACATTAAAAAAAGGTGAAAACATTACGGGTAACCAGCAGACTAACAGAGATAGGAGACAGAGATTGCAAACCATCAGTGAGAAAAAAAACAGAATAAAGGAATGTGATGAAGCTGCCAAATGGCAGGACAAGAAAAACAATTTTAAGACGTGTATCTGTTTTCTTTAAAAAGGGATATTAATTTCCTAATGCTGCTATCACAAATTACCACAGATTTAGTGCATTAAAACAACACAAATTTATTAGCTTACAGTTCTGGAAGTTAACAATCCAACGCAGTCTCACGGAGCTGCGGTCCCTTCTGGATGCTCCGGGGGTGAAGCTGTTTCCCCGCCTTTTCCAGCTTCTAGAGGCCGCCCTCACCCCTCGGCTCAGGGCCCCTTCCCCCACCTGCACAGCCAGCAATGTGGCATCTCTGTGCCTCCCTGCCACAGTCACATTTCCCCCAGCTCCCTCTTCTGCCTCCCCTCCCCCATTTAAGGGCCCCTGTGATTACACTGGCCACCCGGGTAATCCAGGGTTGTCCTTATTGCAAGGCAAGCTGAATAATAGCTGTTATTTCATTTGCAGCCTTACTTCCCCTTTGCCGTGTAGCATCCCATGCTCCCAGGTGCTGGGGATTAGGATGTGGATGTCTTTGGGAGGCCATTATTCTGCCAAGCACAAAAAAGGCACAGCCAATAGGAAGCAGAGTTAAAAAGGAAAAAAGTAAATGAAACTACAGAAAGAGGGGGAAGAATAGGAGAGGAGGAAATAATTGAAAAAATAATGGAGACAAGTTCATTACAATTAAACTAAGATGAGAAAAGGAAAACCCATACCTAGAGAAATAATAGTGAAATTTAAGAATGTCAAAGACAGCCTGGCCGGTGTGGCTCAGTGGTTGAGCGTCGACCCATGCACCATGAGGTCGCTGGTCTGACTCCGGTCAGGACACAGGCCCAGATTTTGGGCTCAAATCAATGTGTCACTCTCAGATGAATGTTTCTCTCTCCCTCTCACGTCTTCTCTCTAAAAATCAATTTAAAACATTAAAAAAACCCAAACCATATATATGCAAGAGGAGAATGCTACAATGTCCCCTGTGGGGTTGGAGTACAATTGCAGTTTTCATAGTTTTCAATATAAAGAAATAGATATAGATAGAATCTCGTCTATAGATTTACACTTGCGTATATTCCCTAATTCTGTCCACTGAGAGGGCCTGAGAAAAGTGACACCCCCAGAGCTATGCACACACCTGGTGTCCACACTTGCAGGGCAAGCAAAGCAGAGTCGCAGGCTGAACAATTTCCGCAGCTCATTCAGGGCTTGGAGATGTCTAAATTCAAGCCTGAGTGGAGGGACCTTGGTGTACACCCAGCACATTCCTTGGGAAGTCACTGAAAAACTCAAATGACCAAAACTGGCATAAGAAAGAGACAATCTGAACATCCCTGCATCTATTCAGGAACTTGGATTTGTATTTAAAAACAAAATCTTTACAAATAAACACACACACACGCAACATTCTTAAGAGGAAGTTTATAGCTGTGCAAATATTTGTATTAGAAAATAAGAAACTTTTAAAATCAACCTTCCACCCTAAGTAACCAGAAAAAGAAGAGCAGATTAAACTCAACATAAGTACAGAGAAAGAAAGAGCAGAAATCAATAAAATAGGAAACGGGCAAACATGAGAGAAAAATCAATGAGGCCAAAAGCTGGTTCTATGAAAAGATCAATAAAATTGATCAACCTAAAATAGACTGGTGAAGAAAAAGAGAAAGACACAAATTGCCAATACATTTTGATTTTAAGTTTGTTTTACTCTATGTTTAACACCCACATAATTCTAGAGTCAAATTTACAAAACCAGGTTATCTTCAGAGAAGTATGACCTCTATCCCTGTCTCTTTCCTCTCCCACAGGTAATCATTGTATTTATTTTGTAGTGTATCCATTTCATATTTGCCCACAGGAAAATACACAGATAGTGAATACATTTGTAGCATTGTTTTAGGGAATGTTGTGCTTCTCAGATAGGGTGAGTCCCAAGATTCCCAGAGTCTTGGGAATATAGCCACATTCAAATATGATCAGTACATCCAAACAAAAGCTTTTAGTATATTCAAAAACGCAAGCAAGAGTGTGTTCAATAGATCAATGAATATGGTTGCAGACCATAAATACATGCAGAGAACATCAGAGGCTTGTCCTGACTCTGCAGACGAAGAGTTCCACCTTTTTGTTGACTGTGACGGACAAAGCATCTGGTCATCTGAATGAGGTTTCTGTGCAAAATTTTTCCAGGTTATTTTTCAAAAATCTGTTTTGCATCCCAAAGGTCCTACCTATTCTGAGTGTTACAGATTCCCTTTATCACTGGGCCAGTCAACTTTGTGGCTCTGAGACCATCAATGGACAAAATGCATCCTGACTGAGGGATGGGTCTTTCTTTTTTTTTTTTTTTTTTCTTATTGATTTTAGAGAGAGAGGAAGGGAGAGGGAGACAGAGATAGAAACATTGATGAGAGAGATCATCAATTGGGCGCCTCCTGCATGCCCCCCTCTGGGGATCGGGCCCACAACCTGCGCGTGTGCCCTGACCAGGACTCGAACCGGCGACCTCTCAGTGAGGGGGATGATGCCCAGCCAACAAAGCCACATCGGCTAGGACCCCTTTTCCTTTTAGATAGTGCTGAGCCTTCCCTAAGAATCTTGGTGAAAATTATCATTACTTATTTGTTTTCTCCTGAGATAAAATCTAATGTCAGCACTGATAATCTAACTAGGCAATGCATAACGAAATTTAGTATTATAGCTGTCCTTGGTAGCCATATGGTGAATACATCTACCTGATGATGGGTCTTGGTAATAATTCCTGATTCTGCTGTGATTGTATAAATACTAGCATGGCCTGATCCGATTGTTGATGTTGATTTTCACATTAAAGGTGGTAGTGTTCTAATAACTTACGGTTTATACTTGGTCTAGGCTTTTAGCTGCATGCCCTTCCCTGGCAGGTGTGTTTAGTTGCCGACGTGAAAAAAAATCTCCTCTATGAGATGGTTGTCGTGTATAAGAGTTTGCATCGGCCTCTATTAGGTTCAATGCTGGCTCCACAGGCAAAACTTCTGGAAAAGAATTCTTGTTATACGAGCTTGACTTATGATGACGACACTGCAGACCAGCAGGGAAAAGAGTCTTCTTAATACATGGTGGTGGTGGTGGGGGGAGGGGGTCAACTAGATACCTACAAGGAAAATGAAAGAAAACTCAGCTCCTACCTCATACCATAGTCAAAACACCATTTCAAGTGGATTAGACCTAAATGTAGAAGACAAAACAAAAAGCTTTTCACCAATAGCTACATGAAGCGAACAAGCACTAGAAAAGTGGCTAAATCCGATTTGAAATGTGCTCTGTGTGTAAAAGGCACACTCTATTTCAAAGACTTAATGCCAAAAAAGAACGAAACTATCTCATTAATAATTTTATATTGTTGAAGTAATATTTTGATGTATTGGGTTCAATAAAATAGATTATTCAAGTTAATTTTACCTGTTTCTTTTTTTAAATGGAACTGCCAGAAATTTTTTGCTGTTGCTGTTAATCCTCACCCGAGGGTGTTTTTCCATTGATTTTTAGATAGAGTGGAAAGGAGCAGGAAAGAGAGAAAGAAACATCCATGTGAGAAAGACACATTGATTGGTTGCCTCCCACACAACCCTGACTGGGCCCAGGTATCAAACCTGCAACTCAGGTATATGCCCTCGACCGAGAATCAAACCCGCTACCCTTCGGTCCTTGAGCCGATGCTCTAACCACTGAACCACGCCAGCGAGGGCAGGACTGCCAGACATTTTAAAATTACACACACCGCCCTGGCCGGTTTGGCTCAGCGGTAAGAGCGTCGGCCTGCGGTCCAGAGAGACCCGGGTTCGGTTCCCGCTAAGGGCATGTACCTCGGTTGCAGTTTGTCCTCGGCCCTGGTTGGTCGTGCGGGTGGCAGCCACTCGATGTGTTCCTTTCACGTCGATGTTTCTCTCTCTCTCTCTCCCTCTCTGTTCCTCTCTCTCCCTCCCACTCTACCTGGGCAAAAAATGGAAAAATGTCCTCGGGTGAGGATAAAAAAAAAAAAAAATTACACACATGACTTGCATTTGTGGTTCACGTTCTATTTCCATCATTCAGCAGCTCTACACTAGAAGATAGCACATGAAAACATTTATAACTTTACTGTAAGCAAAGATTTCTTTGAAAGCACGCAGCCCTGGCTGGTGCGGTTCGGTGGTTAGAGCATCGGCCGGCACACTGGGGTCTCAGGTTTGATTGCCAGTCAAGGGCACGTACCTGGGTTGCAGGTTTGATCCCCAACCCTGGTGGGGGCACATGCAGGAGGCAACCGATTGATGTGTCTCTCTCACATGGATGCGTTTCTTTCTCTCTCCCCGTCCCTTCCTCCCTTCCACTCTCTCTACAAATCCACGGAAAATATTCTCAGGTGAGGATTAACAAAAACAAAAAAAGAGTTGTAATATACTAAACATTGTACAATTGTAAAAGCAAAGCAAGGACATTATCTTTGTGGGACTAGAGGAGCAGCAAGAAGAGCTTAGGGTACTGACTTGGATCTCTCAACCTGAGAAGTGGTTAAAAGGGTGTCATGTTGTGATAAATCATTGAGCTGAATGCATTTGTTTTGTGAGACAGAGAAAGACATTGATGTGAGAGAGACACATCGATTGGTTGCCTCCCGCAGAACCCCCACCAGGGCTAGCAACTGAGGTACGTACCCTTGGCCTGAATCGAACCCACGACTCTTGAGTCCATGGGCCGATGCTCTAACCTCTGAGCCAAACCGGCCAGGGCTGTTTTGTTTACTTTTCTATATGCATATTATAGTATGAAACAAAAATGTTTTGAAAAGAGGAGTATTTACCAGCAAGGAAACATATTCCTGAAGTATGGTAAAGAAAAATAGTTTGGAAAACTATGTGGCATGGTTTTAATTTTACTGTACAAATATATATTTACACATGTTTATATAAAACAAATGACCTGAGGTGATACAAAGCTAGGTTATATGGTAGTTATCCCCGGATGCAATCACCAGTGTTTTATATTTGGTTTGTTTGTGCCCGTGTATTTTCTGAATTTTCTGTAATAAGCCTTTATTGCTTTTCTAATAAGAAATAAAGTCATTGTGAAGTACTGGCCTGGCAATAAACTAACAGATCAATAGAACAGAATAGAAAACTGAGAAAGAGATTCAATAGGTATAAGAATTTGATGTGTGATAAAGGTGGGATTCCAAATCAATGGGGAAAAGATGGGTAATCCAATACATTTCATTGGTTTCAACTGACTAACAATTTGGAAGATAAAGGTGCATTCCACCTCACGCCATAAGCCCCTACATTATTTGAATGCAAACGAAAAAACTTTTAACCATACTAAGTAAAAACGTAAGTTTTAGAGGAAAATAAAAGCAAATAGTTCCATCACTCTGGAGCAAAGAAGGCCTTTCTAACCTAGTTGGCACATACAAAGGTGGACAAATTTGACAATATAAAAAAATATATATATATATTATATCCTATCTATCCCTCTCTATATACATATCATATCATGTACATATATATATACACACCAGCCCTGATTTGGTTCGTTGGGCATCGTCCTGTGCACTAAAAGGTTGTCAGTTGGATTCCAGGTCAGGGCACATGCCCAGGTTTCAGGCTCAATCCTTTGTAGTGGGCATACAGGAGGCTTCACTCTTGCATCAATGTTTCTCTCTCCCTCTCCCTTTCTCTCTCTCTAAAAATCAATAAAAATAGCCCAGCCGGTGTGGCTCAGTGGTTGAGCATCAACCCATGCATCAAGAGGTCACCAGTTCGATTCCTGGTCAGGGCACATACCCAGGTTGTGAGCCCGGTCTCCAGTGGGGGGCGTGCAGGAGGCAGCCGGTGAATGTTCTCTCTCATCAATGTTTCTATCTCTCCCTCTCCCTTCCCCTCTCTCTCTCAAATCAATAAAGAAAACATACTTTAAAAAATAAATAAATAAAAATATTAAGAAAAAGAAATGTATGAGGTTTTTAAAAAGCACCATAAGTTCCCAATAACCACAGCTTCAAAATACCTAGGAATAAATTGAACACGAAATGTGGAATGACAAAGCTACACAACTTAACGAGAAGATATAAAAGAGAACCTGGAAACATGGACAGCCTGGTAGAGGGAGCAGGATTTATCCACTGCAGCTTTGCTTATATTTAAAAACAGAGAGAGAATCTAAATATTTGTGCAGAGGAGCTGCTGGGCTTTGATCAGGCTCTGCTTAGCAGGGGTGAGGTCACTGTGTTAAAAGGACACGTACATGCTTGATCTCCCCTATG